ACTATACGCTTTTTACTTTCGAGCTGTTTTATGATCTCGTAGACAAAATTAATCAGCACAGTCAACTGACTCGATCTTACGCATCAGGTTTCGCTACTCAAGAACACATTTTCTTAGCATGAGCTCACTTCAGAAATGTGGTACGCTTTGTCGAAACTCACAGGTCTCATTCTTGTACTTGACTCATGGATTTGTCCATTTCTTCTTAGTCTTTACTAGCTCCATTGCATACTTTTTGTGCATTGACTGCTCCGTTTTCTTTACTTTTACACGCACCGATATGTGGGGAAACCCCTTAGCAGGTTAGCAGAAAGGGGTTAAATAGGGGCATTTTTGGTTCAAAGCTGTCGCTGCCCTCAACGTTGCTAGCTTCATCAACTTTATTCCTTTCAGTTCTTATTGGTATTTTCATCATTTTTTGGCATTCACATTAATCGTATTTCACTTTTTTATGCTTGCTTTCGCTTTGCTCTGATATGGTCTCTTTTATGTCTTCTATCCTCCGTGACCCCTCTTTCCTTACGATCTGAATGTTTTATCCTTAATTCAATTCTTTTCGCATGTTTTTGCTTCTAATATTGTTCATGCTTTTCTGATATTTCCTTAAATGAATGCAGACACAATCATACTTGCTTTGGTGTGCATTGATTCTAGACATGTGGCTTAGATACTCTGTCCAATTATGAATTGAACGGAATTTATTCTCATCCAAGACATTTTTTGTATTCATCCATCCTGTTATTGTTTTTCAATCCGGCATCCTTATACCTGGTTTTGCATCTAACAGTGGCAAAGTCTTAGGCCCTATTAATGCCATCCAATCTACGCTTTATTTGCAACTTGTCTCATCCTTAGACTATATTTGTCAGATGGAGATAATTTTTACTAAAATATTTAGTAAATCGTTTGTGATTTTTCTATCTGCTCATTCTCACTTACGCTTTTTTGTACAGCCCGGCTGCCCGGCCGTATTGGCGCCGAATATTCCAGTCAGCTGCTTGGATGCATTTGTAAAAGTAGCTGAACATATAAAGGTGAGTTTATCATTGATATAATAAGGTAGCTTAGCTTATACAATATAAATATATTTGCCATGAAGGCATAGTTAATTTTTTAATTTTACTGATTATATTCCCCATTCAAAACATTCTTTCCACGATCACAACTAGCAAAGGCATTTTTAGGGTAAATACGGTGGTGGTTATGCTGTTCTGTGCTCTCAATCCAGACGGAATTTGAACTCTATTATAGTCATTCGAAACTCGTTACGTAAGGTGAGAAGGGGGATAAAGAGATGCGCAATGACTAGAGGAGGATCACTGACTTCAAGGCATTCATCTTAATTTGCTAATTTATTCGTTTATGCTATGGACATACACAAATACACTATATATATGCATAAAACAAAGTAGATAAAATGAACTTTGTGCAGAAACTACTTTCAATGCATTTGTTAGTGTCCACTATTCATAGCGCCCAGTCTACAGGATCTGCTCTGTGACGCCGCATCTCAACCTGACGACCCTTTTGCTCGTCTCCAACATAACCTCCTTCTCCAGCTCTCAGACCAATTCGAAGTGCCTGCGTTTCAAGCGCTTAATTCAACTTTAGCACTGACTATAGTTCACATATGGCTGGCATCTATCCGCCACCAAATTGACTCGCCTCATCGTCATGAGGGTCGATCAAATCCCTCTCAAGGCCTTGAGACAACTGACATGGCTTCACGAAATCCATCTCACTTGGAGCGCATCGTTAAGGCCATGGCCGTTCCCATCGAGCCGTTGGAACGAGTTGGCGCCAATACTAATAGCTCAACAGATGTGGAAGGCCAGGGTCTGGGTGACCTATTTAATAATGTAGGTGAGTGATTGGACAACTTTCAGAAGACTAGCTGCGTTCTTACTTTGAAGCTCCTATACAGAGTATGATTACTATTTATTTTGTCCTACTTATGCTCACTTCCGTGCTCGCGGGGCAATCTTGAAATTAACTATTAGCGTGATCACTGCCCGTATTTTTGTCGCGCCTTTATTCAGGACCATTAACGACTACTATTATTAACTTGCTAGCCGTTTAGCTACGTAAATTCGTCCCCCTTTGATATCTCCTTCAATCAACAAGAGTTAGTATTTTACAGGTTTTAGGAACTGTGATCACCCTAAGTTGCTCATTGTGCACATTTGCATTCCGATTACTTTGAAGATTCATTACTGATACCAGATTTGGCTTACACATAACCAAATTTGAATGCGTATACTTTACTCATACGCCAATGTCCAGGCACACAAGTGGAAAAATATTCAAATAGCTCAGATTGTATACTTAAGATCTAGTTATAGTTAATGCGATTGAGAGATATTTTTTTCAATCATTCTTCTTGGCATAGTGTTTCTGTCAAGTTATGCCCAGAATATAGTTATGCCTTCAAGCTTTAAATGGCGTGGAGGCGAAACGCCGGCTCGGACTTGGTCATCATGCACGATGGTGTTCAGATGACTATGACGATCACAATGAGGATTTGTTCAAATAGGCTCCTATATTGCTCCCAGCCAACCCTTTTATAATTTGATGTTGGAGTACCTTTAATTTCGTTTGAAGAAGCGAATTGAAGAGATAATTCGGCGTCACTGGAAACTGAAGAGGCATTGTCTTGGGGCTGTGACTGTAGATTTGTACGATTTGTCGTCGAACTGCCCTGCTACCCCGATGAATCATTGTTGAACTTTCGTCCGTCGTATCAGAGACTAATACCACGTTTTAAGACAATACACCAAAAAGCTAAGACAAGAAAGCTGTCTTTTATTTATTTATTTTTACTTTAGCTTAAACAGATTCGGAGCCTTAAGGTATGAAGATTATACTCCCAGTCCTATAGTCGAAAATTTGTTTCGTTGTATACTTTACAATATTTTTTTCATGTATGATTAAACACTATGATGAGAACCAAAATAAGTAATTTATTTGAGAATTATCAGGAAATGTTGTCTCTTACTTGGTGCTGCAGTCTAATATTAGAGATATCCTTAACCTTTTCGTTCGTATAAAGAATTAGGTTGAACGCACTGACGAAATAGCTTCCCTAGAAACCGAAATTGACCGTCAGAACTGCTAATTTTTACAAAGATGTCCTTGCTGCACTTTTCTTCTACTCAGCCATCGGTGATCAGCCTTAGTTTGTCTCACAATAACGGGCACTATCGGAGCTATAAATAATTCCTTTGAACAAAATTCGCCATGCACCGAGATTTCATTTAACATAATCTTCGGCTAGGTGTTGAATGTCTTAAAGGAAGCAGTCTCTGAAAATATCTCTCATTTCAAGAAAGACCAAAGGTCTGGACCGACGGTTCGTGATCAGGTGGTGCACAAAGGGTTTATAAACTTAAATCAACAGATCGCTTGTCTGGCGTACCTTTTATTTCGTAGATTGGCCTCACCTGATACCGAAGGAAAGCTTCCTTGGCCTTTTGTCTGTTAAATTGTGCGAAGAAGATCTCGGCTCACTATTCTACGATTTTGATGATTCTGTGCTGAGATTTCGTATGTAATGTGACGGGCATCGTCAGAGCCAGAAATCATTATTTACGAAAAATCATCACATTGTCGTTTGTCTGTCAATTAAGATTAGTAAATACTCCTAAAGCATTTTCCCTATGAGTTTAAAGTGAACTTTTGATAGGATGGATATTCAGATTAGTTATTTAGGGTTACTTGTTTTGATAATTTATTTCCATAAGTTTAGCATGTAGTCTACTCTGTTAAACTTTAGATATAAATTAATTTTGTACTCGAAGGCAAGAAAGCTTGATAGTGTAATTTTTATCTGGGCAACTAGCTTTGTACATCTCATTTTTAAGCACCGACCCCATTTTTTGATAAATTGTCTTTCATCATGGTGACGCCAGGCGGATTCAATCAGCCTGGTCGCACAAAGATGACTTAGCATTTTTGGCGTGTTTGCTGGCCTCTTGCTCTGCATCCTACGCCTGTTTCACCACTCTCCTTGTACACTCTCAATTTAGCGGTAATTATTTTACTCTTACAGCCCCACTTATCCATGTTTTGTTCTCAGAACCAATGGTCTTGCAAGTATACTCGCTTCAGTATTGCACATGCTTTTATATGCCATTGCTATTCTGTTTCGTTTTCCCCAAATCCCTTAAAGCCGGTTGTTTCATGCACCATATCATCTTCCTGACATTCCAATCATAGGCCCACAGAGGGGATCCTATGGCTTTACTGAGACAAGTGCATGGCCATTCTAATTGTTAGTAAAAAGGTAGTTGCTTACAGTCTTTTAGTCATTCTGCTTGTGTTGACAGACAAATATTTCGATATGCATTCGTTCATTTAATTGGCTCTATAAATTAGCTTTTATTTCATTCCTTATTTCGTACTAAGCACTAAAGGCTACTTATTTTTCTAAACTAAGCTGGTCTTATGAGGACACTAATAAGAGAATCGATCCTCTTATCCGCCCGCATCATCTACAACTCCGAGCTGTCCTTTTTATTTTAATGTTCTTAAAGCTTAACGTTCACAGCTTCATCGCATCAAGGAAGGGCACATTTCTGGGTTCAAATGATCCTTCAGCTACCAAGGGGCCTATTATTATTACTTCTCGATATAAGAAGTTTTTGAGACTAACCTCTAATTGATACCTTGCCAACACAGGAAATTGTAAGATTGTTTTACTGTTATAGTCTTTACTATGAACATGACAGTCCTCTGTACTCCCTGTTTTGACTCCGATGGGTCCATATCTACCTTGTGTCCCATGACAGTATTTTAACATAATATTAATTTTATACTGGTTAAGAGAAATTATGTAAGCATATAATCTCTGCTAATTATTTAATTACTATAGAAAAGAGGAGCCAAGCAGGATCGCATTTTTAATCTTTTCTTTTTTATAAAACCTATTATAAAATATCGAGTAATTGCTACTGATTGATGACTTAATATTCTTAAAATAGAGGCTACTTAATATTATTCCCTTTAAAGGGTTCTCCAGGGTAAACACTAGAGCTTCACTAGTTCCCGGAACCGCTATCTTTTCGGGTACAGATACCATATTAAAACTTACTAATATGTCTTCCTCGAAATTCTTCGCTGGCTAACCAATTTCATAAATTCACACGTTTTTTCTGACAAAGTTTTGCCAATATTCAGTCACGTTATTTAACTGTTCACATAAATTAATTGATATTAGGCGTCACACTTTAGTAGTCACTTAAGTAGTAATTAGAGGTGGAAAGAATCTTCCCATTGTTCATCTTTGGGAGGCGGTCAACAGCAGACTCTATCCATTGTTGTTGTCTCAGGCTAAAGTAAAACAGCATCTACCACCGAATTAGGCTGTCATAAAACATATAGCCTTTGTGTGCGAGAATACTAGAATGCTGCTCCGCCTCCTGTCAATAAATGCCATCCCAGAGAGGCTAAGCTACGCCTTTGAACATTAGCAATATTATGCCTCAGCGACTGTAAAGCCTTCGCTTTATTTTTTTATCTTAGGTCTCCAGGGCCCTATTCGTGTTGCTGTCGGACCAAAACAGATCGAAGGTAGGTTCGCATGGTTTGTCTCTAAGAGTATATGTTTTTAATCAAAAAGTTGATATTTATCTGGATACTTAAAATACCTTCTTGCTTTACTTTAAATGTTAATGTTTATTGGCTACATGTACTTGAAATACAATACGGTTATAGTTATAAGAGAAAGTGGGACTGAGATGCCAGTGAACATCACAGTTAATCGGGAAAGTATCATTGTTTTTGGTCTCCTGTGTAGTTTCTCAGTATATAATGAATTAAAACGAAAAGATGGAACATGAGGTGTTAACAGCCGTAAGCCAAGTTCTTTGGAGATGGTTAAACGTTTCTACATCGCATTTTAAATAATATCGATGCCTTTATCCTACGCAGCACCAAGGATTTCAGAAAAGCTTGTATACCATAACTACTATCTTGTGCTTCACTCAGCTACTCATTTGTAGTTGACTTACAACGCTGTTGCTATTCGCCATTAAGTTTTCTTCTATTATTATGTGCTCGAAATTAGCTCGGACTTGTGCAAATTAGTCCAAATGACTGATTTTGTTTTGACAAGGCTTATTAGATGGACTTTTAAAAGTAAGTAAAACAGGCTTGTGGCTAATGCATACGAGAAATCCCCAATATTTTGGCATATGTTTAAAATATGGGTTGCACGGAAAACAGCTTGTTCCTCTAGGCAAACTCTCATAATGGCTTAACTGCATTGTAGGGTATCATGCTTCAAAGAATCTGCCCCATAATGCTTTATTTCTGGCCGTAACCAAGCCGAAAAATATGCTTGGTGCCTCTTTGTCATAATTAATAATCGATCTGTAATAATAATGAGTGCCTTACTTAGGCCATATCTTCTCAAGATTGCCAGACTCAGACAGGAATGTTACACATTTTTTCAAGAAGATCTATTATTAATTTATATAGGCAGACGTGGATATAGTATTTTCAATTTTTAATTTTAATAGGTTTTTGAGATTACCTTTAGATATTGAACAGGAATCGAATTCATCTTAATTGTTTTAAGGCGGTGAAGGACTGGTAATAGAATTTTCCCACAATCATATGAGTAGAGCTGACATTTCTATTGAATTTCACACAACTTTGCTTTACCAAAAGTTGTTTCCATCCAGGGTGGATTGCAGTTTTGATCTCACCTTGGTCCTATCAACATCCCCAGTGGTAGTCGAATCGTGACAGTGCAACATAGGGTAAGGTCGGGTCATCCTTAAAATTCGTATTCACCCTGCCACCCAAGGGCACTCGTGGAGATGTGACTGAGTTTTGTAACGTGTTAAGCGTACATGCTGCACTGTCATGG